GGCCTGTGTCAACTATTTCTAGTTAGCTCATGTGTTTTCTTTGAACTGTATGCTTATCGTGGTGGCTGAATTGCAAGCAAGCGATCCAGTTGCCACGGAGTAGGCAAGTTGCATACTCCTTTTACCAGCCCGGCGGCTGTGGTGGGTGGTCCCTGTCTTAGAAATTGTGTGTGTTCACAATTCTGCAAGTAATGTAACAGGGTGGCGTTAGGCTCGCCGCAGTGTTTGCATAACCTGGCAGTCTCGTTAACAATAATTTGCTAAGCGCATTGGTAACATTGGTCTTAATCTGTGTAGTATGACTTCGGTACCTCTTTCTGTATTTGGCGGAAGGGCCAGTGGCTCATAGCCTGTAGCATCTGAGTACCACTTGGCAGCAAGCGAATTTATGACATTTTCTCTATGTGCTCCCCGGAGGATTGCACATGCCGTAGCTTTGGAACTTTGGCTTAATCTCCTTCGGCTTGGTTAAACGATCATGGGGGATGGGCGCATACCTCTGCCCTTTTCGGTTATTCTGTCATCAAGCTCATTCCCTTAAATGCCAATATGGCTTGGGACAATTTATTATAATTCATCTACCTGTTAACCTTACTTTTAACGATTAGTATTACTGTAAGGGAAATCAAGTATGTATAAATAAATTTACTGTTCAAATCTATTTCAAATTATTAATTTTATTGCAAGAAAAATTATTTCTTAGCATAATGTAAGATATCCAGTCTTTCCTAAAAATAAGAACCAAGAAAAAATATTTTCTTATATATACCATTGATAAAACAAGTCTCTGAATCTTATAGATTTTTAATTGATCTTATTTATTTATTTATTTTGTTTATTATTCGAAAATGCCATGACCGCGTATAAAAGTTTAAGCACGGTATATTTGCATATTGTTTACACTACAGCTTGTAACATTAAACTCAGATAAATTCTAATGATTCTTAAACTTTTAAACGTATAAGTATGAATTTTGTTTCATTTTGCTTTTACACCCATACTTATTTGTGCATCTTAAATATGATTTTTTTTTTTTTTTTTACGAGGATACAATCTATATCTGTGCACTAAACTACCATTCTACATTTTCATTCTCTGACAAGTAACTATGTCTGTCATTACGGTGTAAGATGGTCACACAGAAGGTATGACTCGAATTTACGTTTTTTTCACGTTAAGACAAGTTATGACAGCGTCTTATTGATCCATTCCTTTGGTCAGAGATACAAGTATGATCGTAGAGCCGCAAAGCCTCTCTGGTTATCAAATCTTCAATCTTTTGATATGATTCCTAAGGAGTATGTTACAATAACGAATACTGTTGACTCACCTTTCGTAATGATTTCCTAATAGAAAGTGTTGGATATTGATCATTCACTTGAAGAACGATATTGACATTTAATTATTTAATTCATATAAAAAGAATTACTATCTAAATGGTCTCCTCTTACTGTTACTATTATTGTAACATTTCTATAATTTTCTATCTGCAATCGCCAACATTTTTTACAAACTTCTGGATTGTCAGGGCTTCGAGGATTCTCCCGTTAAAAATACGATCCCCTTACTATTAGCTTAAGAGCAACATTATGCCTCTACGTAACACCGCATGTGCACACACGTCCTTCTCTCCTAATATTTCATAATGCAACAACATAACCGTCTTTTCTTGCTAACTCAAGGCTCAGGGTCTGATAGATTCTCATTCCTTGACTCATGCGATAATTCCACAATATTTCTATCCCATGAATAGCCCTAATTAATAAAGAGAATTATCTGATCAAATCACGCCCTTAAAGTGCATATGTTACTTCAACCAATCAATGCCAATTAGTAATACCTATTTATTTTAAAGTAACCACCTTCAAGGTGGACTTAAGGTGGACCGCACGGCAGCTGCAATGTCTGCTTTCTGAGATGGGTGGCGTCGCGAGAGAAGAGTAACCCCCATTTTCCAATTATTTCCTTTTTGGCTTAATTGATGCACTGATTTCCACATTTAACATTATGTGAATGCACTAAGAAGCAAATCCCCATTTTCCTTCTAAACCAAGGTGAAGCGCAACCACCGGGTGAGAGTCTTTTCCTCACGCCTTTTTTCTAGCGCTTACCTTTCCTATGGCTATAAGAAGCGGGAAGGCACGAAACAACAACACAGATTACCTTTTTCTTTCCTTTTCATCACTTAGTCTATATTGAATCTCTAAGCTGTCCCCAGGCTCAAGCTTGAGATTTCACATTTCACATTCTTTGCGTACATTATCTTATGTTCTGCAATAACTTTAATTGCTCATAAAATCTTTCCCCTTCTCCTGTAATGGAGAGCACGAGAGGAGCCCCCTTCCTCACGCCGGCAACTCGGGCAACCTTGGCGACGCGGGAGGGCGCCTTCTCCCGCTCGCGCATCGCCGGAGCAGTCAGATAGGAGTTAGGTTGATGCTCAACAAACATAATCACAGTGTTTATATGCATACATATGATCGCAACTATGAGCCTAATTTATCAACGCAACATGTGACGTATCATGAAAAATATCCTGGTTTCAACTTGTCTATTACGATAGACATCTTATATTTGATCTGCATCATATGCAACGATAATCTTGGGAATGATACTATCCATAAAATATTTGTTCTGAATATGCAACATTTTAAAGCCTCTTTTACACAATTTTCCTATGCCATTGTTAGCCTGCCTCTGTAAGTCAAGTTCCCATTACATAACATTGGTATGTAATCGATTTTCTTTAACATCACCGCAACACGCTAGCATAATAGCAGGGCGGCTATACACTTGTTCATCCCGGAAACAAATCAAAGATATTGATAATATTTTGACTGCCATTCCCACACAAGAACCTCTGCAGGGAAAACAAAAATAACCTGTCTATTGGTCCCCTATGATGCTATTCACACCCCTGTCACCATGCGCTTTACTCACGCACTCTGTTTCCGCCGTAGGGCTCCAGCTGGCCCATCCGGTAATGCCATGGTATTTGTCGTAGGATCAGGAGGAGGAGAAGAGGGAGATGTATGGTCCCCGGGTCTTATATCTGCCGAAAGAGGTTAGTACAGGTTCCCTGAAGCCTTTTATTGCCAAAGCACTATTAACTATTGTTTGGCCACTGGCGTTTAGTTATTCATCCGTCTCGCTGCCACAGATGTTGTGGCCCCCTATTTCACAACATTCATAAAATGTTTTTCAGTATCAAGACTTAATATCTTAGATTAATAAATGTTTAATTGTTTTCAATGATTATGGTGCAGTTGAAATAACATATTAATGTATTTCAAAGTGACAATATTAATTCTACTAACTAGTGTAATTCAAGGGTTGTGTTAAATATCTATGGAAATCAATATTTATTAATTAATAATTCACCATCATAAGATTATATCAAACTTTATTTAGGATCTTAACACTATACATACAACTAGACAGTTATGATTCAATGTTATATAGTTATCAGTCATGAAACGACAAAAACAAAATCAACAACATTCAAAATTACATTATATCTTAATGAGCCAAATATTATCAAACAAAATAGTAAAATCAATTTGATATTAAACAAAATAATGATCACAAGAGAAGCATATACTTATACATTAAATAGACATGCACTGTGAATTGATTATTCTTAAACAAATGGTCGATTTTAATTAGCGCTAATTAAGTTGTATTTTACATTATTGCATTACTAAAATAGCAAGCAAGATTAATAATCATGCCAAAATCTAATGCTTGTTAGACAAAAAATCAATCTTACGCTCTGTCGGCCAACAACAGGACTTGTCACTGCCTGGACACTTCCGTTGAGCTATCTTTAAAAAAAACACAGTTATTTAAGTACACTTACAAACTATCTAAACAATTTCCATTAAATTGCAGTAAAGGTACATCTAACACAATATTGCAACTTTAGTTGAATTTAATAATCAAGTTATTTCTTTGTACGTTACTGGTTTCCATTTCTAATTCCTGTCTATTATGTTCCATGATAATACACTAAATTACTTCAAAAGGGCTTACCTGGGATGAGCCACCAACAGGAACATGGCTACTGGATGCTACTCCGAAAGTTAGTCCACAGTCCCCGTCACTGAGCATCCTTTTATTTTTGATATGGGGCTCATCCGGTCACATCCTATGCTGTTATCGCTTCTCCATTTCTTATAATTGGAAAGATACGTGCATGAGGACTTTTCTGTCTCATCAAATATTTAACACTCTTTTTATCACTACTTTTTCTACCTGCTATCCGACTCAATTTCTTATTCCCGGACTAATACACTTTACAATCAATTGAAACTGCCTGTTAATAACCCTTTGAAGTCATGGCAATACGAAAACTAACCACTTGAACATTTGGGCCCAGGGCTTTTGTCACAATCGCTAGCGACCTGCACACCATTTTCTTTGATAAATAGATGTCCTGGCTTCAGAGAAAGCGGATATTTTTCCCCGGCGAGGCATTTTTATTTATATTCAGCCCATGAAGAAGAAGGAGACCATGTGCAAAAGTAAGTCTCTCCACTTTTATATGCAAAAATGTTCTAAAACGTATCCATTGCGTTTCATATTTTCATAAAACTATCTATAACTTGCAAAGAACATATATTGCATGGATATCAGAAATCTAAAGTATTTTGGCCACAATATGCAAATTAATAGTGGTCAACAGAGTAAACACTAGGCACTTGTGCTACAGTAAGATAATATTGCTGTGTTCATTCCAGATGTGATGAAGGTAGAAGCTTCCTCAAGATAACTTTATCCAAAAGGTTCAGAAACGAAATTTAGTGATGATAGAAGTGATGATGATGCTGATTTTATCCCAGAAAACAATAAAAGTTCAGGTAAAAAATATTTCGTTCCTACATGTACAGCATATGTTCCGATATTGTACAATAGATATTGTATATATTTTCAATAGTAATATATCCCACAGATGAATATTTACATCAAATTGTCATGCAACTACAAGCATATTATCTTTCCAGATGCTGAAGCGACAGATCAATGCACATACCAAGTGTCGCCAGGTATATGAAAGGGCTATACTTTTGGAATTGTTATTGTTACATACTCTAACCATATGATAATTGCTGCTGCCATGACATTATCTTGCAGAGTATAAATCTTAGCCTTATATGTGAATTGTATCACACTTTTATTGTAAAGATTGGAGCTCCAGTTTACTTTGTAAATATCAGAATTTACCTATATACTGTAAAGTGACAGCTACATCTATTTTTCAGATCCCGAAGACGACGTGGATAATAATCTTACAGGTGTTTCTTCAACTTTTGAACCATACTGGAGGAAAAGAAGTTTCCAAATGCAAGAATTTTTACTGGTCACGCAATGGGACCGTCATCTTTCACGATTTAGACAGAATTTCACCTCGTGCTGCTTTTGATACTATTCTTAGTGATGCTATGTATGACAATGTGTTTCAGACAAATCTATATGCCCAACAAAAAGGAAAATAATTCAAGCCAATTGCAAAATCAGAATTGCAGATTTTCATAGGGATATATTTTTTATGATGGGCATAAAGAAGTTTCCTTCCTATAGGGATTATTGATCAGCAAATTGTCTGAGATGTGACTTCATTGCAGATGCAATGGGTCGGACGAGATTTGAGTGGATTCTGAATGATAATATGTCTGAATACCCTAGAGATGACCCATGATTTGACAAATTGTACAAACTACGACATTTCCTTGATTGTCTAAATAGTCAGTTTCAGTCTTGTTATAATCCCTTAGATTCAGACAATAGATGAATCTATGATCAAATTCAGCACCATGAGGGGAAAGTGACTGGAGGATGGATTCTTCTAGCATCAGTGTCACAAAATGGATTGACACAAGACCAGTCATGTTCATTGCTAACATGCACAACCCTTCAGAGATGAGTACTGTTAGTAGGCGGAAGAAAGATGGTACAATAATTGATGTAACTGCTCATATTATTGTTAACTTTTAAAGAACAAGTATGGCATGTGATAGAGCAGACTGCTTGAAGTCGTACTATGAAATTGACCGAAAAGCAAGAAAATGGTGGCATCCCATCTTTTTCCACTTTTTGGATGTTGCTGTAGTAAACTCAATGGTTTTATATAAAATGCTGGATGAAGTTCTTACTATGAACTTGAAGCAGTTCAAGATCTCCCTCTGCACTAGACTTATAGGTGCAGCAGGAATAGATTCAAAAAGTCCAGCATCCAGTGATGTCCCAAGGAAAACAGTAAACGAAAGTGAATCATTCCTGAAGGGATCAGGACTAGAAAAGCTAAACATATGCCAGCTATTGGCCAAACATACAGACGCTGCAACCATTGCAGCACAAAAGCACACAGAACACAGGGGATATGCTCAACATGTGACGTTCCTCTTTGTCACCGAAGCAAGAGGAACTGTTTTGCTGCTTTTCACAAATGATGTGATAAACAGTGATCTTAGGTAACAAAAAATGTTTCTTTTGTTATTGAAAAGAAGTGCAATTCATATAATTTTGAACAATGATATTAATATTTCATTTTAGTTCTATACAAACGATATTTTGTTATATGAGAACCTGCGTCATGGACACCGGGTGGACAGCGATAGTAACCACTGCTGTGGTTCTAGAGCCGAAGGAAAATAAATATATATATTTTTTTTATGGAATCTCTTAATTTCCTCAACCATATTTGAAATTTCACATAGTATATGTAAAAATATAATTTTAAAAGTAACCTGACTTCAAAGGATTAAGTGGCACTCGTGACTTGTTTGTTTTTTGTGGTCCATCATGTGGTGCCTCATGATGTTTTCGCCACTTAGGGTCATGGTACCTCCTTTCCTGTCGACTGCTCGAGTCCTTACTATTACTGACGTCTCGTCCAAGCTTTTTTTTTTTTTTTTTTTTTTTTTTTTTTTGTCCCATCCATATGGCACCCACTTTGCCCACTTTTTGTTCGTGTGATGATGACGTGTGTCTACGACAACCAAGTTTTAACGGCCAACGGCAGAAACTTTTACAATAGAATTAGCTGATGGAAGCACAGACACTGGTGTAGTGCAAAGTAAGAGATGAATGTGTTAAACGACATGATGACAGATTATGCAAGATAACCTTGATAGATGCATTATATGTTCTTTCATATAAGCAAAATGTTATATCAGTCCAAGCAGCAACACAGAAAGATGTAAGTGTAACTTTTCGTCCTGAATATGCAAAAGTTAAAGTTCCAGATGGTACAGTGTTTAAAACTTCAAAGAAAGGAAAATTGTACTAAATAGTGTAAAGGAAAAAAAAGACCAAATGCAGTTAATTAAAAAGTTGGTGCTATATTACAAATGAACAGCTTAATATCCTAGGACATTGTAACATGAAAGATGTTATCAAGTTAGAAAGTGTAGTACATGGAATGCTCATATATAATAGGAAAATTGGAGATCGTGAAACATGTATCCTACGAAAGATGACTCGATATAGAAGTAGAAAACCTGATGAGAGAGCAACAAAGAATTTAGAGCTAGTACACTGTGATTTAGCTTGTTCCATAAATACATTAGGAATGGTAGATGATGATAGAGAGAAAAATGATACATTGAAGACTACAGAAAAATTCCTAGGTGATAGTAGTTTTTTGCTATAGTGAAACGTCTATGCACAGACAATGTTAAAAACTTTAAGTCAAGCAAGTTCCTATTATTGATGGCAAAGAATGAGATAAAGCAAGAATTTTCTGCTCCTTACTCGCCCCACCAGAATGGGACACCTAGAGGTCGTAGAGGACTGTCTTCGGCATGGTTGCCTGCTGGATAGAGGATGATTTGCCGAAGCAATTGTGGCCTTACGCTCCTAAGACTTCAAGTTACATACGAACAGGTGCTTTAACACTAGGAGAAATAAGACCTCGTTCGAGACGCGGAGTGGAAAAAGACCCAGTTTTAGAAATCATATGTTTGGTGAAACAAGCTAGCATGCCATAGATGTTGGATGCAAGAGGCGAAAAAGGAATATTTATGGGTTATGAATGAGAGAGCCCTGCTTACCACAAGAAAGGTAGAAGTAGAAGATAAAAAAGACGATACAAATCATGAAGATGACAGTGTTTAACCTTTCACAGATATGTAAGCCATTCGGCGACTCTACAGAGGGCACCCAAGGAGATACGGTCACCGTGCGGTGACCTTAACATAATTCTTATATAAAACCTATCACATTTACTGGATTGTAACATGACTCTGCATTACAAAGCCACTTTGTAAGAGGAAAATGATGTTTTGCAAGTTTTGAGAGTGACCAGTTTATGGCGGGCGGGAGATGGGTGGGTTAGGATATGAGGAAACTTTAAGCTTTACTTCACATTCTAAATATCAAAGATATTTTGTATAGATGATGATGTGAGTATATACAGTATTTTCATATGTCTGTAGACGTAGAAGATATATTATACACAAATATATTTGTTGAAATTTTATACACATCATTATATGTATGATGCATATGATCTGAGCGCCTCTGGCGGCCGATTGTTGAACGACTAGAGACAAAACAACAATAATCCCAGCACGGTGTCCGAATTTTATTTTATCCTCACATGCTTTGCTTGCTAACCCATCACCATGGCATCCGCGGATATCTCAACACCCTTCCTTTGTCTCGGACGAACAGACGCACTGGGTGACAGACCTCCAGCTGTACAAAGATTCTCTACAATTTATATCAATGAGGCAGTTATTTCAAAGAGAAAAAAACATCATAAATTACTGTGGAGCAAACACTTGGATAATCGCTACACACTTGTATGCGAGAGCCTTACACGTTTATCTAGAAACGCATCGAGAACGAACAAAACCATACACTATCCGATTAAAAATAAAGAATGAAGAAATAGAACCCACAAACACATATCGTATGTTTAATGCCAGTTATTCGTCTCTGTTTGAATTAATTTTCTTCAATGAACTTCAATGAAGTTACCTCTGGTTAAGTGTATATAGTTTACTTCAAGTAGAGCACTTGTACATTACGTTCATGAGATTCATATGTTGTTTATTAACTCAAATATGAAGCCATAGGATTAAACTATTGAATTTGGCAAGTAGATTGAAGGTAGACAGGAACAACGAAGGGAAAAACAAGAAAACACACAAATATGCCGAAGGCATTTTCGCTATTGCTTCATCAGGGCATACATGACAGAGGTACATATGGGAGTATTTATACTAATATCAAGTGGTCAGGACACGTCGGTGATCAGGCGAGCGACCTTAGATCGTTGCTCCCCGTAGCAGTGTTGATATTGTTTTGTATGAATGAACGCCGCTTCTACCATCTTCCTTTGTCGTGGGGGCAGGCCTTGTTTTACGATAGAGGACTGGGACCACTTCGGGAGGTGACCGCCGGTGTCTACGTGAACAACGAAGGCGCTTCTCGTGTCGTGGCGTCGGAGAGCGCTGCGGTGTTGGCTGATACGTTGTTCGTGCATTCCTCTTGCTATCTCCCCTATGTAGATTCTATCACAACCACCACAAGATATGCTGAACACCTGACTGAGGAGTCTGTTGTGGTTTGACCTCTTTTCTCTTACGATATCTCCGATCTTCTTGCCTGAAGACAAAGCTATCTTTATAGTGCGGCCCACTAGGGCCTTCTTCAGGTGTTCAGTCAATTCCGAGTGAGGGATGATTATTCTTTGAGTCTTGCTCTGTGTGTCGTCACCTCT